ACCCAGAGATACGAAATCTGATCAGCTGAATATTACCTGGAGACATATTTCGCAGGTCGTATTGCCTTTCTCGTTGCACCACCTCTGTATGCAATCTCTGTGTGCAAACTGAGAAAAAGCAAAAGAAAAAAAAAAAGAGAATTTATAAATCGTTTTCAGGATTATTCGGAAACGGAATCAGAAAACCAAAAGACGAAGAGAAAAGAAGAAAGGGTTTTGAGGTGTACCTTGACAGTTCCAGAGCATGCACAGGGAGCTTCCATGATCTTATGGTCGGAGCTTCCGAATTCTTCTTCATGGCAAATCCTGCAGAGCGAAACTGCCGAGCATGAATCCTCCTCCACGTACAGTATCACGTCTCCCATATTTTTCAAAAACTCCCTCAATTCCCGTCTTTCTCTTTCTGTTTCGGTGTCGTCTGTTTTCGAAAAACTTCTCTTTATTTCGAAAAACTTCTCTTCAATTCAAAAAACTCTGTCTCTGTGTGCCCTGGTTTGTGTCCAGTTCTTTTTCTCTACCCGTGTCCGAAAAATTGGACTTTATATAAAAGAAAGGTGACCTGAATTTCCAAAAATACCCCGCACTTATCTATATCTAAATCAAACGTATATTCACTTAATTAACTAGTAATACTGTTATTAGTTGTCTTGCCCTGAGTCCTGACGCGTCATATGTATATATATGGATGCAGGACTTGACCTGCGCGGTCAAAGACACTTCAATTTATACCAAATTTAGAACGTTTAGAAGAAGCATTTGTATAAGAAAAGGGAACAGCTCCTCAATTGAATCTAATAACTCTAAGTGACAGTAATTCAAACTCTGCATCACCGGAAAATAAGAGCTCGTATTTTCAGTTTGACTCGTTTTGAGTCGGCAGACTTCTTATCAAGTTTTTGGGATGAGTTTGTTTTCATGTTGTGTTTATTGTGTTAATGCTCAAACTTTGTAAGGTAACAAATTAAAATACTAAATGTTTGGTGGGTTTGGAAAATTGTTTGAAATGAAATAGACTCGAAGATTTGAGTGGTTCACTCCTCAAAACTTGGTCAGACTATATTGATTTCAAGACTAAAAATAGCTCTCAACTAATACATGAACTTTTTTTTCTTTTAGATGTCTGACCCCAATACAAGAGGTCTCGCCCCTTTATGTAGGCCCTCAAGAACTCCCCAACCTTGGATTTTCCCAATCTGACATTTAATATGCCACCAATATGTAGACTAGCGTACTGACACATTTTCACCTATTGACTAAGTATTGCCAATGAAGTGATAGGTGCTCAGTCGAAAATGACACTCCTTTCCAAATGATGTGTGCCAAGCGCCTTGCTCGTTCTTGGTTATCCAACCTTGTCTCTCTGACCGCTGGTCCGACCACATTTACGTCTCATCCTAGGCCTATGTCGCTGACTGTGAATCGTCACGTGGCCTGATTGACGTATGAATAGAGTTGTTCCTAGACATTTGTGTCATTAAGTTGTCAGTCTGCCCATGTGCCTCTTGCGGTTGAAAAGCACTTTACATATTCTAGTCAGACTGAGCTCATAGACAATCAGCTTCTTGATCTCCCTAAGACTTTTTGTGGATTCTTTTCCCTGCTTGCACCATTAGGTTAAGCATTGACACCTCTTTTAGTTTTTGGTGTAGTTTTTAAATAAAAAAGTTGTTTGGATTTAGTAAATATGCTTGAAACATGGATCTACTATGTTTATTATCTACATATGCATTTCTACTGTTATATAGTAAAAGATTTAACTAGATAACTGATTCTAAATTCTGATATGAATTATGAAATCCAAAAAAGAAGGGAAAATTAAAAGAAAAATTGCTGATTATTTGATATGTGATGTTTGTAATTTGCATAATTTTGGGGGAGAGAAGGGCAATGCCGTCAGGTTAATTATATAATTTGATTGGGAAACAGTTGCCAAATAGTTAGTAGGGATTCCTAATCCTTTATTCTTTTGCAATTATATTGCACTGGCCACTTAGTATTCGTCTATTATTGGGTTAGGGCACTATTTTCCTTCCCGTCCGTGTCCAATTCGAATTCCTAGTCCTCCTACCCTGTCCCCTCCCCCCTTTGAATTTTGAGCGTGAGATCGTCGATCAACGGTCGAAATCAACTGAACTAACTAAAATTCAAACTTGAATGGTCCCCACTGCAGCTCTATGATTAGACGGCCTAGAAACGCGCTCACCCAAACCCAATGTCCAAAAACGCATGAGCACGGACCCGTGAATGTCATTCGGCGGGGCTGCTTCTTCAAATGCTCCAACTCATATTCGTTTCTTTTTTTTCAAAGAAAAACTAATGAAAATAATTTAAAATTTTTGAATTTTAACGATAAGAATAAAATAAATGGTAAAATAAATAGTATCAGGATTGACTTTTTAGTGTAAAATGTGATTTTTCATTAAAATGAACAGTACCGATAACTTTTCGTTAAATTCATTTTTTTCAATTCTGTTAGGCTATAAATAGTATCAGGATTGACTTTTTAGTGTAAAATGTGATTTTTCATTAAAATGAACAGTACCGATAACTTTTCGTTAAATTCATTTTTTTCAATTCTGTTAGGCTTTTTGGTTATATTTTTCTTCATTTACAAGGTTAGTTTTATTCAAAATTATGTAAATTGTAAATTAGCAAACATCGACTTTTTAATTAGCAAACAAAATATGTAAATTGTTGTATTAACAACGATAATATACTTTAATTAATGGAAATTAAAGAAAAATAATAATGTGATAGTGAGACATAAGAATGGTGGACTGGTGACATTTGTTCTTATCCCGTCTCGGTCTTATCGTCTCTTCCTCTCTTTTATGTTTTTGGAATTATCTAATCACAGAGCAACCAATGGCATGTAGATATTAGATATTTGGAGTAATGGGAAATAGGGGATCAATACATATCCATATAGTATGGTCTTACAACTTTTTGAAGGTTTGAGGCGACTGGTCGGCACTTTGTGGTGGGGACATTTGGAGCCAACCCTCTACAATACAATACCGACCTCTCTCTTTCTCTACCCGAACAAGTCCAGTCCAGAAGGTTCGACAAGTTCGTCTTTGGCAGCGGCTCATGACGTTCATTGAATTGTTAATGAGTACTTATTTAAATTTGTTTAATTTGCTATCATCAAAATATAGAAGTGAGATTGGTAAAGGTAATAATGGTATGAGATCAAATTAAATTAAAGAAGTCTTAATAGATACCTATTAACAACTTAATAAGTTAATTTGTCACTTCTAACGTTCACATCGTCACACTGCAACCTTATATGGGAATTTGAGTTTCCAAAAGCCAAGCAAACAGTAATAAGCAAATTTTACGTAAGAAATAAAAGAAAAATGTTGTGGTATAATAAGACGGAATAAATGCTCAGATGAAACACTAAATAAAAGAGTTTATAAAGCGATACATGAGATTACAAAGGCTATGTTGTACCTAACAAGTAACAACCTTATTTAATTGTTGAACCGAAACGTGGTACCATAAGAAGCAACAGAATATATCTATTTTAATTTTGGCAAAGCAAAGGAAATAAATGGGCGAGGGAAGGCCACTAGGAAAGCCCAATTTTATGTGGCGGGATTGGGCATATATTGGGCCGGGGCATATTCAACTGTTAGAGGTAGGCTGGGAAAGTGTGAGACTTGAGAATACCTACCTTGAGCATCAAGATTGAATGTATTCTGACAAGTTTCCAAAACAATTTCCCCCAAAATTGTAATGGAAGATGGTAACAATAATACTAATATTATGGCTTATATTTGGCGACCACTCGTTGCTGGATGAGGAGATGATGATGGATTGGTCTGGAGAGGTGCTTTAGCTTTTAAGAGATATCCAGCTGCACAAGCAACAGCAACAGCAACAGCAACAGATTTGGACGACTTAAAACGACATGGATTGAAATTGCTGAAGCTATTCATTCCTTCCTTTACTTGACTTGCCTTACGGATCAGGTTGACAAACGTGACGCTTTCCAAGTTACATATTCTCTACCTGTCCCGAGTCCTACCTCCGTATATAGCTGGTCCCTCATCTACTGCTAAAAGTTCTAGTATTAAATTTGGATTTGATGGAATTGAATCTAAATTATTTCATATATAAATATCCCACTGAGTAATTGAAAATGATATGGAGTATGCTTCTAGATTTTTTTAACCGTTAGACATTGATTGATGTACTTGTGATCGAGAATCTAGCTATTAAAAACTCCAAAATATAGGAAATCTTGTAAGTAATTTACCCCAACACAACATTGTAGTAAGAAGTGGCTTATTCTGCAAATCAAAACTACTTGTCATTAGAAAGTGCATCTTTTGCCTTCACACATACTCAGCTTTCTATACTGTTACTATAGAAACAAGTAGAAATTATTTGTTTTTTGGTACGTGCGACTGTACCAGGGCTTCAGACTAAAAACAAGAGAAACCGAAGAGTAAGCCAAGACGTCCTAAATATCTGTTATGCATGCATATCATAGCATATTCTGGCGGACGGAATGCATGTGAATTATTGGAGGAGAGTAATATACTATACGTATACCTTACCTTATGATTGATTGTAACATTTGTGGTTTGGTGGGCTGAAAAAATTCAAAATTTAATCAGCACTAACTCACGCTTTCCTCAGCAAAGATGTTGACGGAGAGGCACAAGGTAATACTACAATTTGGTCAATAAATATCTAGTTGAAGAATGACTATATATGTCATTTAACACTCTGCCATGTGGCCATGTTAAACTCAGTAACAATGTATTATTGACTTAAGATTCCGTCACACAGTGTTAGTAATAGTCCAAACCGTTTCCTTTGCAAACTGGTTTAATTTGTTATTCTATAGCCACTATAGCTTAAGTTATATAATTTGGACACTATTTACAATCCCAGATGCGATGGACCAGTTGTTTTTACTGTCTGCATATCTAGTTAACGAAATGTAATGTAATCCCATAGCTGAACCAAAAACTAGAAACCATCAAAAACCACGGCACAAGTGAAGTAGCCCCTATATATATTTGCATTCGGGTTTGTGTTATCGATATCTTGAGGCCTCAAAGCTTTCCCAATACCACATACGTGCACCAAAGCTCTTCAGGGCAAAACTCAGCAATTTTTATTGAATGGAGGCCGAAAACATGAATAGCAGAGAGCACAAAATTGTGGTGGCAGTAGACGAGAGCGAAGAGAGCATGCATGCTCTCTCCTGGTGTCTGGGAAACCTCTCCTCTCAAAACGCAAACAACACTCTCGTTCTTCTCTATGTCAAACCGCAGCCAGTCCATTCCACTTTCGACGCTGCAGGTAATTAACGTCCCTTTACAAATTACAACTAACTGCATACTTTTTTGTTTCTATTTATGGACCTGATTAATCAATTTGGAATACTGAAATGGAAATATTGATTTGGAGTTGATGTGCGTGTACTTGATTTTGCAGCATATATGTTTTCGAGCGATGTGGTTGGATCCATGGAAAAATACGGGACTAAGATGGTAAATTCAGTGATGCAAAGAGCTGAAGCCGTTTACAGAAATTTCCAGACCAATGTAATTACCGATTAATTAATTAGACTCTGCTATATGTGTGTGTTCTGCAATTGTTTTAGACTTTAATTTGTGTTTTTCAAATATTTAAAGTTAATTATATGTTGGTTAATTAATTAATTTATGTTCTGCATGCATGTAGGCGCACATTGTGAGAGTAGTAGGGAAGGGAGATCCAAAGAATGTGATATGTAATACGGTTGAGAAACTCAAAGCTGACACTTTGGTCATGGGAAGCCATGGTTATGGTTTCTTTAAGAGGTATAATTATTAATTCATTCACATTAACTAATTATCTGAATTTGTTTATTTTTAATGGATATAAGTAATTACATATGATATCTTGTTATAATTTTAGAGGTCGCACTTGGTGCGATGGCAAGTGCCTTCGCCCATGAGCGGTAGGTCTCGGGTTCGAGACTTGGGAGCAGCCTCTCTATAAATGGGGGTAAGGCTAGCCGACATTCACCTCTCCCAGACCCTGCGTAAAGCGGGAGCCTTGTGCACTGGGTACGACAAAAAAAAAAAAAAAAATCTTGTTATAATTTTGATATTTTGTTGCAGGACTCTTCTTGGAAGTGTGAGTGATTATTGTGCGAAACACGTAGAGTGCCCCGTGGTGATTGTGAAGAAATCTTGATCAGCGAAAATAATCGATCCACGTCTATGATTATGATCAATTTCTAAATTAACTAAAGCCAAGGAATTGGGGTTTGGGGGTGGGAAGGGAAGGGAAGAGGGATCAGATTTCACATGTACGCATGTGTCAACACTCAACTCAACAGATGAATCATTGAAAAAAAAAAAGGAAGAGAAGATGAAAATGAATTATAAATAAGAAAAGAATTCTGTAACTTGTACCTGCATGTCCTTAACATGTATGATCATGATTTGTGGTTAATTATGAACTCTATCTCTACGTGCCTTGAGGCCTAGTAGGAAAATTGTTGGTTATTTATTTTATTTTAAATAAAAATATGAAGAGTCATATTCATTAAAGAAGTTATATCTTTTATTAAGGGGTATGTAGAGTTTTATAAATAACGAACTCCTCAAATAGAACAAAGACGTTAACATAGATTCATATGTCTTCTTTTTCTCCCTACTACAGTACTCATATATAATCCTTATTATCTTCCTACTCATCTTGATCATCAATGGGCAATTGATCACTACTTGGCATTCCGTCGTCTACCGTAATCGTGTTTATGGATTAGACACTCTGTGAGATTCAAGGGTTGTATCTTAAAGTTGTAGATAACCATTATAACCGGCACATAGGGAGGCGTCTACGGCTTTAGGACAGTGACAACACGCCTCTCTTGATATCACAAGCTAGATCATTCTTTACCTTTTCCTTTTTATTGTTTTATTTATTAATATATGTGTTTGATGCATTTGGGTATTATTTAATTGATTGAAGTTACATGTGTATTATGATCATAATCATTTATATTATCCTACAAAAAGACCAAAGTGCTGAACAAGAATTGAAGCAAATTTTAAAGAAGCTAATACCTAAATATAAAGGCTGGCCAAGTAAGTAGCTCTTGTAAAGATAGAAAGAGTTTCCTATCGATAAAAGGAAAAACTTTGTGAGGATTTATGGTACAACCCCAACAGAATCGATCAATTGCGACAAGATTCACAATTCCGCTAGCTGAAATGAAGCATGCACCTCAACTTCAACTATAAGTCAATATTGCATGTGCTTGTAAGTTTATGGTACAATCAAAACTATCCTCACAACTATCACGCTCAAATTATATAAATAAAAACCGCATAACTTTATTAAATGTTAAATTCTGGTTATTTCCTTGCCTGCATATGTGTGTGTCAAGTATTTGTGATGTCCACATTTTAGTATATGTGCATGTGTCAAGCGTATTGCTGTGTTTTCTCTGGTGTGTGGTGTGTTCTCTGTGTGTGTCCCTTCCTTTTGTGCTATTTTATTTTTCGCTCAACTGCCTGCGCATTCGAACACGAATTCAGCACATCAACGACGGCATATCTCACTGCCAAAGGTATTATCTGACTGCCTATTTCCATTGATATGTATATGTTACTATATTAACTCCAGTTACACAGAAAACCCGTAATTATTATGCACCATTAGTTCGCCTCATGCTCAATTTACTTCAAATTAATGTGGGTTTAATCGTATTTGTAGTCCAATTATCTAATCTGGGCTTAACATTATAGATTGATATAATCCAATATAACCAGGTACATGAGTTTTGGTAGACATGCATTATAATGTTTTTTGTCAGTTTGCTGAATTGTGTTATTCAAACTAGCTTCACTTGATTCCAAGGTAAAGGGAGTTTATGTAACCCTAATTGTATATAGGAAAATGCTAGAAAGATTGACTATTTAGACTAAAGTTCATAAACCATATGATGTAGTTGTAATTGAAGCCATGCTTGATTGAATTTTAATATTGTATGCATGCTTGAACAATGCAGCAATAGAAGATATGAAAATGAAAAACAAACAATAAATGTTGCTCATAGAAGAGAATTAAAGTATATATCAAAGGAAAATGAAATAAGATACAATTAGATAACCATAATAGTTTTTTCAAACAATGAAACCAAATCAAAACCGTTTAAAACCAAACTGAACTGAACCAAATGGTTTGGTTTTATTTCGATTTTAGCCTCAAAAACTTACGATTTTGATTTTGATTTCACTCAAAATTGCACCAAATCAAATTGTGCCCATCCCTACCAAAAAATACAAGTACGAGGACGTCACCGATTCACCAAGCAAAACTAATGGAACGTGTGAAATAGATTTACAGCGAAACCCCGCCAATCTACATAATATATTTTAATTAATTAATTAGAGACTGACCGGTTACCAGTTACCAGCTACCAGTTACCACCACAAACTTGTAGAGCGTGCGGAGAATGAATTAGAATTAGGGATCGCAGACTCAATGAACTCTCATCGGAGGCCTTGATCCGATAAGGCTTTTATCGCCGTAGATCCGAACTCGACCGGACCCATTTCATATCGATCCGGCGTCGGCGTCGGCGTCAGCATCACCGTCAGTAGCAGCAGCATGTTTCTGTTCGACTGGTTCTACGGTGTGCTCGCGTCCCTCGGTCTCTGGCAGAAAGAGGCCAAGATCTTGTTCCTCGGCCTCGATAACGCCGGCAAGACCACCTTGCTCCACATGTTGAAAGACGAGGTCGGTTCCTTCCTCCGGGCCCCCTTTTCTTATCTCTGTCAGCTATTCATTTTGTGCTTTAATTTCCTTATCGATTGGCTCCTACTTCAGATTCGAGGAATCAGAAATGTTCTGTTTACTTCAATTTCAATCTTTTGAATTCATTGATTAGATTACAGTTTCTTTTCCAAAGTTGAAGACTGAGGATTGAGGAAAAGAATTGGAATTTGGGAGTTGGATTTACAAGAGAAGGGGTTAAATTAACAAGTGTTGGAACTTTGCAATTGGAACTGGGAACTGAGGTCAAGGTTGATCATTTAAACTTAATGGGAAAGCCCCCAAATCAACTCACCAGATACAAGTTTTTTCCAGAACCTCTAGCGTTAAAAGTCCAAATTGAAGCAAGTACACTAATCCGCGGTCGTTTTTATGTGTGTGCAGTTTAGTGATTGCTTTGATTATTAGGATGTTTGCAAATGTATTGTTGTCATGTGTGGTAACAATTTGAGTTTTGTTGCACTCGTTTTCAGAGACTGGTGCAGCACCAGCCCACGCAGTATCCAACATCGGAGGAGTTGAGCATTGGGAAAATCAAGTTCAAGGCGTTTGATTTGGGAGGTCATCAGATTGCTCGCAGAGTTTGGAGGGATTACTATGCAAAGGTTAGATATACATAAAGCTTTATTAACGGCCACACTTTTGCTTTGTTCTCATACCTCTGCGGAGTTCTTTGCCAATGTCTTTTCCTGGACCTAAACCTGCTTGCGAGAGGTTTCACTCTTTCCATAGTTCAGAATTTATGGTTTAATGCATCATTTCTGGTCTGCTTATTCCTGTCCGTTGAGAAAGTCTGGTTTTCTCACTTCTTGAATTTTTTGTTTACTACCTGTATTGGTGTGGTTGCTTTCAAGAATTTATTTTCCCTTTATCTTGGAAGCAATGCGTTGTTGTCGTCCTGTGCTCCTGGTTGCGTGCGTTCTCTGCTTGATACAACTTTTCTGTTTTTTTTTGTGTGTAAATTTATGGTTTAATGTATGAAATATCTGTAAGTGTTTAGTGTTTACGTTGGATCTTCTGTGCACTGCATATGAGTTGTGCCTAACACTATAGAATCTAGTTCCTCTGGCCTTTTATGAATGTTAAGTTTGAATTTATATATTTTTGTCTTATTATCGTCCATTATATGCTGTGTTTGAACTTTCATCAGCAAGGTAAAGGCTCCAACATGAGCTAATCATATCTACATGATTTGGAGTGTTTACAGGTAGATGCTGTGGTGTACCTGGTGGATGCCTATGACAAGGAGCGGTTTGCAGAATCCAAAAAGGAACTAGATGCACTCCTTTCGGATGAAGCCCTAGCCACTGTCCCATTTCTAATTCTAGGGAACAAGATTGACCTACCATCTGCTGCCTCGGAGGATGAGTTGCGATATCACCTTGGGCTGACCAACTTCACCACTGGCAAGGGGAAGGTAAACCTAGCGGACTCAACTGTCCGTCCGCTAGAAGTGTTTATGTGCAGCATTGTACGGAAAATGGGGTACGGCGATGGTTTCAAATGGCTCTCTCAATACATCAAGTAGGAGGATGGTCGACAAGGTGTGCTACTACTTGTCGCGCCTTAAGTTGAAAATTTATTCAGTCTCCCTTGTTGTATTTAGGCTCTTTCTTTGTCTTGGGATTTGTGTAGAAGGAAATATCAATGTCACTACTTTGTTAAATTTTTATTTTAGAGCAAGAAAGTAGTACGTTATATGCTCGTCTATATTTTGTTTTGTAATAACAATAGGGGTGTGCTATCCACACACTCCTTTTTACTTCTCACACACCCCTTGTTAATTTCTGTCTGTTGATCTTCTTCAATTCATCCGATCCGACGGCCGAAAACCAAAATGTGTGGAATAAGTAAAAAGGGATGTGTGGATATCACACCCCTAACAATATAGCTCACAATTTTTTTGAAAAATGTGACCGTAAAAGTACGCAAGATCATTTAAGCAAGCCAAAGAAATAGCAGTTTACTTATATTCCAAGCCAAAGTCATATTACTAATATTCCAAGCCAAAGAAATAGAAAAATCGACCAAAAAAGAAAAAAGAAAAGAGGTATTAGCAGAGATCAAAAGTGATTTTCCATAAAGCTTTGATGGACGAAAACGAGTCGCAATTAAATTAGTCGTAAATAGATTTAGTTAGTTAACAACTTAACAGAGTTATAGACTTATAGTTGAACCGACCCTTGACCTCCTTTACGTAATATTGGTCAACTATATGTCCGTCACGAAGATGGAGCTGGTTAACCAACGTATGAACCTATCCTATCCTTTCTAAGCTAAGCTAAGCTAAGAAGAATCCCACTATATAAAATGTGAGTAAACCCCAGATTTTGTTCAACTCCTCATCAAATCCTAGTTTGCTTTTGAGCCCTTAATAATTACTTCATCATCATGGGCAATTCCATCTCCAACAAGCAATCCCATGCCACCGGAAAAGTCATATTATCCAACGGCTCTGTGCATGAGTTCAATCACCCCATCACCGTCGCTGAGCTCATGCTAGAGAACCCGCAGCAAGTCGTCGTGGAATTCGGCTCTGCGGTCCCCGAAAAAAGGGCAACCCCGTTGCCTGCAGACATGCAGCTCGACCTGAAAAAGGTTTACTTAATGCTGCCAATGAAGCGAGGGAAACCAGTGCCGTTGTCATCCGAAGAAATCCGCTGTGTTCTTTTAAGTGCAAATTTGGTTTTACAATCGAGGTCGCCAAGGTTTTTACCTTTGTTCTCTAGAATATGCCTGGCAGGTGATCCCGGGCAAGCTTTCGTGTTGCCAAACAAGGACAGGGATTATAGTATGGAGAGGACGTCGTCCAAGGTCATGAGCAGGTATGTGCCGGAGTTTGATCTGCCGGAAGATTTGGACTCGAGACCAAACTATTTGAGTAGGCAGCTTTCGGGCAAGGGTACTTGGAAACCGAACTTGGATACCATTAAGGAGAAGAAGGTTGACAAGAAGTCTCATTGGTTATTTTCAACTTTAATTAAGAAGAATGCTGTTGATTATGATTGATGTAATGTGAGATTAATTGTATGTGAACCATATATGTATTAGAGCTTAATCCAAAGAGATATATTAGTGTAAAATTACCTGTTCATCAACTAGCTACTGGTGTTGATTTCGGTTTCGTTTGGGACTTGAATGAATTGGATGTATTTTGATAATATAGGGTTTACTCTTCAATCTTCATACAAAAAACTGCGAGAATATTTATGTTCAATTGTTCCGTGTACAACAAATCATTTTCATTATTTATTAAATTAGATTAGCGACGAGATTTAAGGAATTAATTGAGAGAGAGATGACGATCCTTATAGGGAAGATGAATCAAGAATAATCTAAGATATCTAGCTAAAAATGGAAGGAACAAGATGAAAAATCATAAAACTAGAATCTATGAAAATTAAAACTACTTAATGGGCCTATCAACATTGGGGGAGACTTGGGAAGCAAGAAAGGGGAAAAAGCTCACACGTGGACCGCCCGGGATGCCAATCGGATTGGAGCCCATTGGAATTTGGGGCAAGCAAGCTACTGGTTCGGCTTCAAAACCTAAAACATAAGGTATTTAAATGCAAGGAAGAAGAAGTAGAAGAGCCCATGGCAGTTTCATCTATCCAATCACGACTACAAACTCTTGAGCAATGTGTTGTCATATCTTAAGATATCATAAGAAAACACTCCTAAATTTTTTTCACAGCAATTTGTTTCTTATTGAAGCATTGTCTGACTAATCAAAAAGTAGTTTAGACATGAATAATGTATTTCCAAATCGATTGGAAAAAACTGTGAGTTATAAATCATAGTTTTTGTGAAAAATTTAAAATTTTTAGCTTTAAAAATATTTTGCCTCGGAGTTAATGAAAATATTGCAAGACTTTTGGACGTGATCATACCGTTTATTAGGTTCCGGAACTATTTTTTATTGATTTTTAAAGTTGAAAAATAGAAAAGTATCTTTAAATTTAGGTTTTAACTAGTTGATTGCAAGTGTTTAAATGGAAAAATATATCTTGAATAACATGAGTATGATAATTTTTTATTATGGTAAGAGAAATAAAAGAAAATTTAAAAAAAATCTGAAAAAGAAAAAATAAATTGAAAAGGGGGATTGGGGCCTCCAAAGAGATTTGTAGGTGTCCGAAATCTTGAGAATGTCCTAAATTAATTTTAGGAAACATGTGGTGAGTAGAATACCTTGGCTTATAAATCATTGATTTCAAGTGTTTAAATGGAAAAATATATCTTGAAGAACATGAATATGATAATTTGTTATTATGGTAAGAGAAATAAAAGAAAAATTTACAAAAATACAAAAATACTAAAAATTAAAAATTAAAAAAAACTGAAAAAGAAAAAAGAAATTGAAAAGGGGGACCTGTAAAGAGATTTGTAAGTGTCCGAAATCTTAGGAATGTCCTAAATTAATTTTAGGAAACATCTGGTGTGAGTAGAATGACTCTAACTTTGGCTTATAAATCGTTGATTTCAAGTGTTTAAATGGAAAAATATATATGTTGATCCTAAAAACTACTAAACCTACGTGATGCGTAGGCCGAGTAATTAGTAAGCTAACCACGTCATTCGGTTGTATGCGGGGCATGCCAACTCGTCGGCCGAGCTCGGCCAAAGAGTAAAATTTGTTGATGTTGCGTTGAGCACACGGCTGACTTCTCGATCTTACGATTGAGGCTGAGGAAGGAACACTCTCGGCCTTCGGGTTCTGGAGCTTGAAGACAAGGTTGTTAGTTCTGCGAAGTTCACAAATCGTCGGTGCCGGATTCGGTCACGGTGATTATGTTCGTGAGAGTATAAGCACGCTGAATCGACACCAGAGTATAGGGACACAAATACTCAAAACAAATGTACGTCTTGATTGTGAAAGTGGTTCGGCCGTCAGAATGTTGAACTCTAAAACCTACTTGCGAATACCCAATCATAAACAACGCGACGTTCGATGTGCCAAGCCCTAGTAACACCTCACTTCGTCGAGCAGGCTGATGAGATGACATCTGCCAATAAGGATCTGAAAATCCTTCTCGATCGAGACTTAGATAGATAACCAGTCGACCCTGTTGCAGTGCTGTTTATCCAAACTGAAGGTGCTTCATGGTCGGTTGATTCTACGGCAATAGTGCTGTTTATCCAAACTGAAGATGTTCGCCGGTTGCCTCCACAGTGCTGTTTATCCAAACTGAAGGTATGTTGGCGGAAAAAGAAAGTAAAAATCTTAAAGTTGTTGAGAAGTTTCGCGTAGAGCGAGGGTTTGCACAAGGCAGCTTGTGTGTTGAATTTGAGGTCCCTTTTTACGTTGCACAATGCCTTGTATTTATAAGGTTGATATTTGCTTGACACGGCTAGATAATTGTGGAGTCCAATTGCAACTCTAACTTCAGAATGAAATGATCTGTGTGGCTGACTTTTAAATAAAAACCCATCTAGGTTTATCCCATCATGATCAAAGACCTAGCCTACCTAGGCTTCTTATCATAACTCCATCACCATCAAATCCTTGGCTTATCACATCACCACATCATCACCAAAAACCTAGCTTTCATAGGCTTTCATCATCTTTTCCCAAAACTGCTGCATGCATCATGAACTTCAAATTCATTTTTTATTATCACCATGTTTAAATGGATAATATCACATCCTGCATGCTTCATTATCTGATGTCGTGCATATCTGTCAACCAAAACTGATCCAAACCACACGTCCACATGCCAAATATCCACATCAATTTGAATTGTACCGCTTGTTTGGGGATATAATCTGCATCATATTTATCTCGTTTAAGAATATGTCAAGATAATTCATATTAAAAGATTATTATGATAAAACCATAATATTATCCCTTAACAAAAATATCTTCACTTTTTCATTCGACAGTTGAGAACTATGCTTACTCAAAGGCCTTGATTACACGGGCCGATGATGTAAATTTGGATCCAAACAATATCTTAAAGAACATGAATGACACACCCCGACCCGGAATGTCCACTTGGACTCCGAATCAAGTTGTGCTGGCCAACACCTAGAGGGTGATGAAGCTATAAAGTGTAGTGTGGTGGAAAAATGATGTGAATAAATTTAAACCTAAAAGTGCCTAATCAAAAGAGTGCGCGGGTGAGCGGGATTGAACTCATTTTACACGTGATGTCAGAGCATAAGACAACATAGTAAATAGGATGAGGGTTATACTATTAAAGATAACCATCTCCTAAGATTTGCCAGAATCTTCGTTTACACGTAAGCACATCTACTAAACCTGGAGGGGCGAAAAACAAAGTTGAGTGGGTGAGAAAATAAGTTTTGCGAAAACCTTTTCAAAAACATTATATGCCCTCACTGTAAAACCAAGTATAGTTTCCAAAAATATACGTACTACATATAATAAGAAAATACTTACCGTAGCCTGCAAAGTCTCAAGAAATCAATAAGGGATAGTTTTCGCAAATAAGCACAAGGTGACCAATATCACATAATCTCGTAATATGTAAACATAACATAACAAATGCTCATCGACACATGATGACACACGAGTTGGAGTTGCCTAACGCAACCTGTACGACAGGACTGGGTGTAATAAATGCACTATAGTACTACAATCACGTGAAGATTGGCGCCGAAGCGAGGTCACATACGAGTCAGAATTGCCTAATGCAATCTTTATGATAGAACTAACACCTAATTTGGATCCAAGGTGAGTGGCCCTGGGCAGAGTACTAACATTAGGCTGCAACAATGATGAGCAGAGTACATAAATAAAGACGTGCCACAAAGATTCGATAACTCTAATCAACATAGTAATAATCACAACTGTAAATATAACATCATGGTATCTCATGCATACCTATGAACCTATAGGGCTCAACAATTAATCTCCTAAATTCTGTCATTTCTCTACTTCATGTAACTTTAGTCTAAGCTAGGCATACGTAGTAAATTCTTTTTCAAAGTATAACTGGAAACTAGCAAGTATGCATATATTATAAAAAAAATGACTCACTCACAGTTACGCAGTCGAAACGAGGCCTCCAAGCCTTGCATGACCTCGTACGTCCTCGAGATACGTTTCCCCTAAATGTGAAATTACTAATTTAATTAGTTTAATAACACCTATATGAAAACTTAAATAAAATCCTCATAGTTTGCTCAAACCTAGGGTTTAATTATATGAAATTGATCTACTCGACGTTAAAGACCTACACAAATTTACAAAAAACAAAGCCAAGGCCAGACGCGCTCTCACGCGCCACCGCACGTAGGCAAGGCCCTGACGTCCGTCAGGAATATTCCGTTAAATAACTAATAGAGTTTAACGGCGTTACCTGACGTCATTAGAATATTCCGTCAACTTTGATGGAATATTCCGTCGTTTTTTCTGGTGGTCCTCGCCGGTCGCTGTTGTCTGAGCTAGCCGGAATCTGGAAATTTTCACTGGTTTCTGGGTAAAATTTCAAACCTTCCTATCTTCTTCATTTCTCAACCAATTTTCACAAAATTTATATGGAAATGAAGCTTATGAAGAGAAAAACATTATTGTACCTTTTGGAGGTCCAAAAAATGGATGGAGATGGCCTGAAAATGGCTCAAAAGGTACGATCGAAACTCCAATTTCTCGAAACCTTGTGTTTCGAGGTTGTTTCTCGTTCAAACCTTCACTATAGACCTCGGGGAGTTGAGTGGAGGACTTTAGACTTCCTAAAAACTTGTAACTCGCTCATAACTTATCAGGGAAAAACTGAGCCGAGTCGGACCTTCCGAGTTCGACGTCCAAAACTCGGTCAAACCACGATCCAAGGGTATGGTTATGTTCATGGTGGTGAGACGAGTTCAAAGGTGTGGTTTTAAGGTCACGTTGATGAGGTTTGAGGGTGGTTCATACTGGTTGCAGAGAGAAAGAGAGTTAGGGGAGAAAGAGAAGAGAGAGAGAGAGAGAGAGAGAGAGAGAGAGAGAGAGAGAGAGAGAAAGTTGCTTTCTGATTGGTAAGGTAAGAGAGGGAAGATATGTGAGTGGTAGAGATGGATTTGATTGGTGAAGGGAACCAGATCCACCAATTAAGGAAGGGATTGGTGTATTTTGTACAATTTTTAATGTACAAAATCTACCTCCCTACAGTGTTTCAAGCACTGATATTTTTGTATGCGCGTATATAAAAAT